GGGTGGGCTGCTTCAGCCTTGTTCTGTGCTATCCCTCTTTTATTTTGAGGGTGATGGATGTGTATTGGTCCCAGCAAAGCCCAGGATGCCTCCTCTGGGGGCACTGCTTGGATATTTCTTCCCTTGGACACTAAGCAGGAGATCGGTGGCCTCAAAGCTGGAGGAGCAGCAACGCAGGCACAGGGGCAGGAGAGCTGCCTGCAGCCACATCTTGCCACAGAAGGCAGGAGAGGAGCAGGTTTGTTTTTTCGGGGGAAGAAGAATTGGTTCTGCAAGTCACAGCAGCTGAAAAAATACTCCTGGTTCAGAGGACCAGGACCTATGGGATGCTCATCACACACAATGGGCAGAATTGGGGTGCCCAAGACCCCAAAACCTAGATGTTTCCTCACACTTGGGCTCTCATTCTAGACTCTAGAGCAAACACAGCACCCTGGCACATCCTGTTTGTGAATAATTATCACACAAAGCAGCCCCAGCTACACTCTGCAGGTTTATCACAGCAGCTGTGTGACCACAGGGAACGGAGATCTGAGCCCAGCAGGCAGGTCACAGCGGGACCAACACCTCTGCACAGCACAATTTCCAACCGTGTGCCTCCTGGGCTGCTGCCACCAGTGACTTCTCAGGCACTGAAAGGCCTGGTGAAGAATGAGGGATGGGATGAACTCACCCATTCTCCTGGCTCTAAGCTCCTCGGGGCGGAGAAGGTGTGGGTCAGCACACACGGTGCCCCTCCGCATCACACCAGCACCTCCCCGGAGACCTCATCCAGCAGCAGACCTGCCTGAATCATTTCGCATCTTCTCAAGTTTCAGCTAGAAAAAAGAAAGAGAGAGAAGAAAAAAAAAAAAAAAAAAAGGCATTTCAAATAATTTTTCCCATTTTGAAAAGGCTGGTCCCTTGTGGACAACTCCACAGCCAGGGCGTGAGGAGGAACTTGCCTGGCCTTGGTCCCAGTAAATCACAGTTCAGAGACAGCTGAACTCCATTTTGTGATTATTAACCCCAGCCCTGCTCCATTTGTTTGGCCTGTCTGAGGCTATATATAGTGATGGGAGCAGGCACGGCCAGGGGAGAATTGTGTGCAGCTGTTTAGTGCAGCCCCCTCCTCCCCACCTTTCCAAAAAAATAAAATAATAATAAAAAAGTTCCAGCAAAACAGGAAGGCTATGGCTGGGAAATGAGAAGCAGCTGTGAAGAGGAGGGATGGGATGTCATACAGGGGGGCCTGACTTCAAACCTTGCAGGAAATGTATGAGAAATTTCCCAGCCACTTTCCTAATCCATCATCCCGCCCCGTGTCCCATGGTGGCCCCGGGCTCGGTGTGCCAGAGGTAGGAGCATCTCCGGGGTGGACTCGGCAAGAAGACCCACACAAATGGCTGCTTGCTCTGCTATCACCATCACCGATCCCTTGGAGAGCTTTTGTGACAGATCCCAATCACTCCAGATAGATGAAACACCAGGAACGAGCAGGTGCTGAGCAAAGAGATCCCTTTGCATGGTTTCTGTGCATACCTGCTCGTGAAAAGCTTGGACCATAGTGGTGGAAAATGGATGAATGAACACCAAAACAGTGCAAGCTGGGTGCCAAGGGAGGGAAGGAGAGGACTGGTGTGAAAACGTAGAGCTGGGGAAAGGTGGAGGTGCCCTGCTGAGAGCACTGTCCAGCGGTGGCATCTCCTGGTCCTCGGCGTGGCTCACTTTGGAGCTGTCAGAGAGGAATGCACCAGGCGAGATGATGCCACATTAGCAGTCTGCTCGTGAAAGCTTCCCTTTTGCCCGTGCATCAGCCCGAAAGCCACGTCGTGATTAAAGAGAAATGGTTTTGGTAGCATCCAGGGCTCTGACCTCTTGGTGCCGGGCAGAGGAAAGTTGCTCCTGAGCATGCACAAGCAGCAGGAGCAGTAGCTGCAGTTAATCTGGGTGGCTCCTGCTCTTAAATCAGCGCTGGCATTTTTACACGGGTATAACCTACCTGGCCTTTGCTGGGCGCATGTTTCCCGAGGCATGTGGACTATTTAATATCCATTTATTTAAACTGATTGTTTTCCCCTCTAGCCCTTCCCTGAGCAGATAGCTCCACAGCTGAGCTCTCTCACTGCAAAACTGCTTTTGTCTGACTCGGATCTCCCTGGGCACGTGCTTGCTCCTCTCCCCTTCCCATCGATGTAGAGTTAGCAGTCTGCTGTGACAGCAAATCATGCCGAGGGCTGTTAGGATGGAGAGAGCCACCTGGGCTTAATCCACGTTCCTGGAGGAGATCCGAGGTGCAAGGAGCAGCACAGGGGAGGACAGACCCTCAGTCCCCAAAGGGGAATAACCTCCACGGAGACCTGGTACCAGCCACAGCGGTACTGGCACAGGGGAAACTCGCTGCTGACCACTAACCTCGTGGCTCTGCATCATTTTTTTCCCCCTGGCTGCAACGACAGCAACAGCCACCCGCACCTGAGCTGCTGCTCGGGCAGATGGTGCATCAGTTTAACGTTTCTGCTGCACACAAAGCTCAGAGAGGGGAATGCACGAGCTCAGCTCGTCCCCCTTTTTGGATACAGATGTCAGTGTATCAGCTGGCCAGGTAAAAGCCAGATGCGTGTTTACCTGGAAAGCATTCCTTTCGCTTCCCTGCAGGTGGTGGCTTGGGTACGTCCCCGCTGTCACCCAGGAGCCCTAAATGTGCTCTTCCACCCCTGCTCGTAGCTTCCTGTTTGCCAGGAGAGCTTCGAGTGAGAACAGCCCGGCTGGGGCTTGTTTTCATGCAACACAGCCTCCTCTCGAGCGAGGGAGAGGCAAGGCTGGCGGCGCTCGGGCTGTGGTTTCGGCAGCTGGTGGCACCAGGCACCCCGCAGCCAGGTGTGCTGCTCTCGAGAGACCGCACGGGGCTGAAGCGGTGAGAAGGAGAAGAGGGGGGAGCCGAGATCAAGGTGCTCGCCTGCGAAGGAAGGAGCTCCCAACCGAAGGGCTGCCTGCGCGGGAGGCTTGTGGCTAGCGAGCTCACCCCTCCCTGCCGAGCCTCGGAGAGCTTCAAACTCGACCTCAGGCTCTTGTTCTGCACCTGCTGCCGCTGAGCTGCTCACCCGGTGGAGGGGGGTCCCTTTTCTCTTTTATTTATTTTGTTTGTTTTCAGTGAAACCCAGGCAAAGGTCTGGGATGCGAAGGGGAGGCCGGGGTTTCTCTTTGGATGGGTCTCAGGTTTGGCACAGTTTTCACCTGCACCTCCTCCCACACCAATGTGTCCCCACCGTTGTTTTGTCGCTTCCATCTCAATCCTGTGGGCAAGCAGGAGAGGGGGAACACAGCGTGAGCTTCTGATTGATTGTGCAAAGCCCTAGCCAGGAGAAGTTTGATTTACTGGGGCCAGGGGTATGAAAGAGCTTGGCCAGGAATTTGCACTAAACCTTTGACACACAAGACATTTCCCTTTCTCGCCAAGACAAACAAAGGAAGGAAGTGTCTGGGACATTTAAAGCGACCTAGTGGAGACAGGTAAGGGCAGATAAGGGCTGGAGGAAGAGTGGGCTGGGCAAGGGAAGTATCTAGTTTTAAGGATTCGTTTGATTCCTTACTATGCTGCAGAGCAGGCTTGGAGGAGGCAAAGCTGCCTGGGAACTGCTTGCAATGGGATGAAACAGCCTAAACACCACTAAAGTGCTGAGCACCTGGGGTCTCGTTGCCCGACACTTTTTCTCTGTTTCCACACACTTTGCAGAGTTCTCCATATCTGATGCTTGTCCTAAAGCTCGTAGGATTTTGGTGCTCATTAGCCGTCCACTTTCAGGCTCTGGAAATCTCCTGTTAAGTGATGCTGGGCTCAGGTGCTTGGCTCTTGGTTGCCTTTACCAACCAGCGGGGCCCTAGGAGTTCCCAGCTCCCTGGGCTGGTGTAAAAGGGCACTTGCCCCTTTCCAGCACCTGCTCTGATCCTCTAATAAAGCAGAGGAAATGCTCCTGGGGTCTATTAACGACGCACCAATTTTCTGCTGCACCTTGCAATGGTATTTGCCTTCTGGTAGAAAGGAGCTTTGTTGCTTTCTGGGACAAAAAGGCTGTTTTAGGGTGCGTTACAGGCTGCTGGCTCCTGCTGGAGGTGACCACGCCGGCCCTTCCCTGCAGGGCTGCTCCCCATCCGATCTCTCAGGATTTTGCATTTGGCCTTGCTGCCCATTTCTCCTTTGCTGCCCTTATTATTCCTCAAGGCTACACAGCAACTTGTCCCGCGTTGCACCGAGCGCTGGAGGTTTCCCCATCCTCCCTCCCTCGAGCAGGTGCAGTTCCAGCAGGACGGGGCTGCCAAAAACCACGAGGTGGAGGCTGAGCCCTCCTGCCACGAGGCGAGGGTTAACCTCGTTTGCACAGGGTTAATTTTCGGGCTTCCAGCTTCTCCTTGAAGCTACCTGTGTGGTGAGAGCTGAGCCCCCGCTCCTCGCATGCATCCCTCCATTAACACCTCGCTCTTTGACCTGAACTCTCCCTGTTCCCAATAAAAATGCTCCAGCTCCTTTTTAACCCTTTTTCTCCCCCAGAAGGAGACCGGGCAATGCCGCAGAGCTCGTGGGGAGGCTGCTGGCGTTCCTCTCCGTCGTGCTGCAGAGCAAAGCACAGATGGAGGATGCATTAAAGCAAGACCCGGGGGCCAGCCTCCGGCCGGGATTGCCAGCGTTTGGACAGGCTCTGTGCTGAGGCTCCTCCGCACGTCCAGTCGGAGATTATGAAAACAAGGCTGCTGCCTTCTGGGTTATTTATAAAGCAAGCTGGACAAATAAACTTTTCCTACCCAGAATGGTCAAGGTTAAGAACCCATAGTTCTCCTTTCCTATGGGGACCTTGTTTGTGACTCATTCCCGGCAGGCGCTCGGGGGCTTCCAGCGCAGGAGCTGGAAGTGCTGGGCCTTGCAAAGGGGCTTGGCAGAGGCAGCCGAAGGCTCCCTGCAAGCAGTGAACCCCTTCCACCCTCGTTTGTTACTAATAAGTAAAGACTCACACAGAAAAGCCATCTGTAACGCATGCAAATTCTTTAAAAATAAATAAATACAGCAAATTGGCTGGAGCACCATCTTGAGGCAGTCTCTGGAAGCAGTGGGCAGAGCATCTTGTAGCATCCTCCCGTGGGCTGGGGGGGATGGAGATGGGGGTGTCCCTCTGTGAGCATCACTTGGGTGACGTGTACATCGTGGGGGAGCTGCAGAACCCAGGCTGAAGGGCTCCCGTTGCCCCAGCCGCTGTGAGGATGCAGCATCTCCTTTCGATTCAAGGTCTTTGAGCAGCAGAGCCTAATCCTGCTCTCCCCTTCTTCAACTGCTTGCCCTTGGATGAAGTTTCTGTTGCTGGATATTCAGCCGTGCCATCAGTTACCCTGGCAGGTGGCCCTGCAATGAGGTTCTTCCCCAGCCAGTCTCTCCTCTATCCCCCCAAACCTGGAAAGAGTCCCTCGAATTGCCTTTTGCTCCCTTACTGTCTCTTATCTGTAGATTCATACTATCTGTGACCATGGGGTAACTTCTTGCATATTTTTCCCTGCTCTTCATTATTCATTATTCCAATTGTCATTGGAGCACAGGTGGGGCTACCCAAAATTAGCAAATGCTGCTCCCTTTCTTCTCCAGAAATATTTAGCTTCTTATTACCGGGCTTAATTTTTACTTTTTTTTTCTAAGACTTCCATTGAAGAACTAGTCTGCCTAAGATTCTGCCTAAACCTCCATCTGCTTTTGACCACATCTTTATTATCCCACTCTGTCTTTTTGATAGCAGTTGGGCTGTGCAGTGTGCTGCTTCTGCTTGCTCTCAGCAAGCAGAGACCATTATATTTACAATTTCTGCTGACGGTGAAAAGAACTGAAGCGATGCCTCCCATGCTCTGCAGGGCTCAGCAATGAGCCTGGCATCGTTTTGTTGCTTGGTGGATTTTGTGCTTGGGTTTTTGATTTTGTTGTTGTTGATGTGGGGTTGGCTTTTTTTTATTATTATTATTTTTTACCTTCTGTAACCTGACCATTCAGGTAGCACATCGCAAAGACAATGTGATTTTTCAGTGCGCCCACATCCACGACCAGCTTTCTCCATGACCTATCCCGCTTTCCCCCATGATGTGCCACCTCCTTGTTGCCCATTCCTGAGGAATCCTTACCAAATACTGCCCAGGCTCAGAACCCTTCAGCCTCATCCCATGCTCCGAGGCCACCTCGGGCACTCTCACCCCGACAGCAGCGGGTTAACAGCCCGGGGCGTGCAGTGTTCAGGGTGATGCATCTCGAAGCATTGTTTTTTTGCTATATGTCCCTGTGTTCTCAATATTAAATACTTCCTTCCCCTTTGGCGCTGGAGGCTGCTCTGAAGGCTGGAAGCACGGTGTCTGTTTGAGCAGGGCCTCTCTATCGCCAGCATCTGCTTATCTGCAGCTCAAAGGAAATTCTGCTTGGCTGATGTGTTCCAGCTCCGGATGAAACGCCTCCCGCCTGCACACGCGGAGAGTTTCATAAGCAAGGGGCTCAGATGCCGCGAGCTGTTGTGAGACTGCTGCTCAGTAACAAGTCTGCGAAAATAATCAGGGGTTCTCATTTCGTGGTGGCGGCGGCCACGAGGCCAAAGTTGCCGCTGGGATCATCTGAGCACCACGAGGCTCCTCCAGATCCTAGGGCAGCTCCGCGCTTCAGAGGGGCTGCAGGGACTCGGGGGCAGACTGGGAATACCCACATGGGCAAAAACGCCTCAAAAGGGAAACATCAAATAAATCCCACCGAGTGAAATACAACACAAACACGCAGTTTAGCCACTAGAAAGGCCAGGCAGGTTTAAGAGCTCGCCTGCGCTGAAAAGGAGAGCTTTATGTTTTCAAGTGTCTTCGCATCACCTAAGGCGCACAGCCCGCTCTTGATGCTGTGCTAAAAATAAAGTGCCCTGGAAGGTGCCGACAGCCCTCTCAGCACTTCAGCTACTTTGAACTGAAAGAAAACAGCACGAGATGAGAAAATCTTTGTGGGCCACCTGGGTGCTGCGTGCCAAAAGACTTTGGCCAAGCGCTAGGCACAGAAGCCAGCATCCGCTGCGGTTGTACCAAGTTCTCTGCCCAGACGTGGGCTACAAAGCTGCTGAAGACAACACGGGCACCTCACCTTTCTGCTTCGTCTAAATTTGATGTATATTTGAAGTCCCTGAAGCAGCAGCTGAAGCAGAAGCGAGGCAGCCAGGAGATGTTGCTTTGAGCAGGTGAAAGCCCAAGGAAAACCCACTGTTGGGGTGAGACATCGCACGCAGGGATGCAGAATTAGGCCACCAGGCTTGGCCAGGGCAGAAACAACCTCCTTCAGCTTCAGGGAAGCAAGCAGGGAGCCGTCGTCTCACTGGGTTAAAATTATAGTTTATATAAAACAATTTCACCTCCGTCATGTGGTTTCCTGAAACCTGTTGGGGGAAGAGTCAGAATTGGGGAGAAATAATTTTCTTTTTCTACGAGGCACTGCATATTTTTATTCTCCCCTTCTTGTTTGGCTAGATAAAAGTTAGGACAACAAGAGTTGTTGAATTGGTTCCAAGTTAAAGCCCAAGAAAACAAACCTGAGAGGTTCAGGGTGTCATCCAACCCAGTTTTATTCGCCCAAGACACTGTGTCATGCAGCCTCATTTGTGACTTGGGCCAAGGGTAAAATCCTTCTCAGCAAGGCAGAAAACAGTCCAAAAACACCCACAGTATTTGGAGGAACTGGGATTTTTCAGGAACCATGTGGTGGAGATCTATTTGCAGAAATATCCAGGTTCCATCCCTGTTTGGGAGAGCAGGCACCCATGGCCAGTTTGAGCTAATTCTTCACAAATTAATACACTTAGAAGCAACATTTTTCTTTCTTTTTTCTTTCTTTTTCACTACATATTTGTTATCTTTAATTAGTTAAAGTTGCTGTCAGCTTCTTGTTTCAAGTTGTATTTTAGTTTCCTGCTTGAAAAAAAAACCACAGCCACCACCTCAAGTCACTTTTGAGTTTCATGGCAATGAAAATGACAGTCTTTAAAATTTTTCTTTAAAATTTTTCAACCTTTCTTTCTTTCTTTTCCAACCCATCTGCAGAAGCCTCCAGCAGCAGAGGCGAGAGAGAAACATCTCTAAACAAAATGAAAAAGGATCAGCTGCATCACTCCCAACCCATTTCTTTAGCCTGCTCTTAAAACTCACGTTGCTTTTAGCCTTCCAGTTTGCAAGGAGAAAACACAGAAAGATCTCCTCCAAACAGGGCTCGTCGCCACTCTGGAGTGATTTTATCTGAAATGTGTTTCTTTAGCTTGCTCGTGTACCATGTGGAACAGTGTCAAAAGCCATAAAATTGTATTTACTGCCTCTTCTTGGAGTGCAGCACTCATAACATCATTGTAGAAGTAAATTATCTGAGCTTGGGATGGTTAGCTCTTGCCAAATTAGTGTTGCCTGTTACTCATTTGCTTTGGTCTTCTTTTTTAGGTGCTGACAAACAATGTGTTTAACTGCTTGTTCTGCTGTTTTCCCAGAGCCCAACACCACATAATTCTCTCCTGATCTTCAGTCTCCATCTTAAGACAAACCTTCTGCATTTCTCCTGTGCATTTTCCATCCTCCCCAGGTTAGCGAAGACTTTTCTCAGCTTCCAACTCTTGTCTATATTTAATCTTGTCCAGACAACCCAGAAATACATAATGTGTGCTTTCTAGCTTGTCCTTTCCTTACGCTATTGTGATTTCTTCCTTCTTTATCATCCACAGCAACCTTGTTGCTTAACTGATCGATTGCCCTTTGAAGTCAGGCTGAAATATTTTCACCTTCTTAATATTATCCGCTATTGGCTTCTTAAGTCTTAGATCTGCTTTTTCCTGGGTGTCCCTCTCAAAATACGGCAATTTCTCTGTTGTTTCACTGCAGCATGCAAGGAACTGCAGAATCAGCTGGGGCTCACCTCAAAGACACCCAGAATTGGCTATCCTAAAGAGACACAGCATGACCTGGACAGGTTGCAGGCATCCAGAGGCCCTTTTCCATGGGATTCCTACAAGCTCAGCCACATCTGAGAACACTTCCAAGCACTGAAAAGCACCTGAGTGTTTCCCTGGGCAGGGATCACCTTGCCTACATTTACCCGCAGCTGCTGCCTAGTCCCAGTGCATCATGTTCTGGCCGCTTCTAAATTCTGCAGGAAAGAGATTCTTCCTTCAATATCTATATTATTTTAATTAACACATTGTTTAAATCATCCACTCGCCATTATTCTTTCTTTCTACACATTACGTTCAGTTGTCATCGCTACAGCTTCTCTTCTTTTCCCACTGCTCTCTGAGAATTGGGCTCAAACCTCCAGGAATTACTGCTGCAATCTTATCAAAATCTCAACGCCGCAATTCCTCATTTCTTTTAGGCCATGACGGGAGGACCACACACCTCAGGACCAGCAGCTGGCTGCTGGATTCGGAGGAGCTGATTTTCTCTCACATCCTGGCTTCCTTAACAACCCACGGATCCTCTTGCACGTTTTTCCCCTGGTCTGGAGCAGGGATTCAGCCCCAGCCCTGTGCCAAAAGAAGCCACAGAAGCTCTCAGAGCAGTGGCTGCCGGTCCTGCTCGCCCAGGCAGCTCTGCTGGCCCCCTCTGAACCCAAAACATGGCCTGAACCCCCAAAATAAGGGGAGAGCACCTCGCAGCCACAAGAGCAGAGGGAGCCACAGTCTGATGAGCGAGCTGCAGACTTGGAAAAATAGTTGGTTTGGAAGAAAAAAAGGCTGGAACATTGAGTCCCCTGCCCCAGGCGGTCACTGCTGTGGGAAGCTAGGACCAGATCGACATGGAGATTTCCTGCAATGCCTTCGCTGCTGGGAAGGGTAGGACTTGGCCTTGTTTCTGAGCTATTGCAGCCAGCCAGCTGCCTTCCCCATGCATCCTTCTTCTCTCTCCTCATCCAACATCTGTAAAGAAGGACCAGGGCACCCTCTCCTCACCCCTGTTGCACTCCCAGCTGAAAAATCCTCAGTCCCATTGAATGATCCGAGCGGCTCCTGACCTTTTCCAACCCCAGAAAACTTCTGCTCCCCAAAGCTCACCTCCTAACTGGCATTCAATCCCTCTGCAGCAAGCAACCCTGCTCACAGAAAAAGGGGCTGAGCTGCAAAATCCGCTTTTAACTTTTACTGCCCATGCCCCCAGGCAGCTCTGTGTTACCTGGGCACGAGAGGTGGCCTGAAGGCTACAGCCCTGCAGCCAAAAAAAATTGTTAACAGCTCTCTGGACCCCAGCTATCCCACACGCTTTAGCAGGACAGGGCTTTTGCTGCTTTTTGTTGCCAAACTGCACGCCCTCGATCAGCCCCTGGTGCTCCAGCATTTCCCAGCCTCGCTGCACAGCGAACGCTCAGGGCTTATCGCAGCATCAGAGCAGTTGGGAGACAGTTGAGTGTCTCTCTCGGTGCTGATAGAAGGGAAGGCTTTGCTCTTGGAGATAAGAAGCCCTCCCTGAGGAGCCAGGGGAGTTCGTTGGTATCGGAGCGTCTTCCAGCGCTTCACAGATGTACCCTTGGAGCGCACGAGATGGCGAGGCGGTCACGTAGCCAGCAGCCAGGGAGGGCTGCGTTTTTGAGGTCAGTTAACCGAATCCCTCGCTATCGTTTATTTTCCCTTCCCTCAAATTATTTTTCCTCTTGTTGATGCAGCTTTTGCGGTGACCTCGTTGGCTCACCGAGACGTAAACAGACGCTGGCCTCCTCGTATTTTTGGAGATAGATTAATTGAGGAAAGATGGTAGGAAGGTATTTCAGCCCAAGATTTTGAAACACTTAACGGCTCCGCTCTGCTGCTCTCTGTGCTTGAGAAACAAACCTGCAGCGAGGGCTGGTAGCAAATATTGTCCAAGCTGGTTGGAACAGGTGTGTCCGGAGAGAAACTCACTGCCACCTCCAGACAGAGCTCCCCACAGCACCCCAGGGCAGCAAATCCAGCCTCTGCTGGTTACACGTCAGCTGTTGCTCGTGTACCAGTAAAGCAGAAGGTCTAGGAACTCCTCTCTGGAGGAATTCAGCTGATCTAGATTCCCCCACGTCAGGTAGTTTGGGTGAGCAGAGGAATCAGGGCATGCACAGAGGTAAAGAGGGATGAATGCCTTCCACGAGCAGCTCCAGCTCCATCAAACACTGAGAGCCCTACTTTTTTCTTTAAACAACCCATAGAAACCTTCCCATTTCCAAATAGATGTCCTTTTCTCCAAATAAATGAGGGGAAAAAATGGAATATTGTTAAAAACTAATCCTGCTGTGAGGTAGAGACCTAAAATCCAGTGCAGACACCCCTGCCCTGCAGCGCCTGCCCGAGCTCTCCGATGGAAACCCTGTGCCCTCTGCTGGTGCAAATCACTGCAGCAACGCCTGCGTTAGGCACAACTATTTCCTAGTAGGTAGCTGGAGAAAATAAACATTGCTCAAGTATTTAAGCTCTTATCTAGTGGAAAACTTGCCTGGGTGGGTCTAATAAAATATATTGTCTCTCTCCATAAGCCTTGCCTCGCTTATTTCCTCGTGCTCTCACGGTTATGCCCATACTGCCAGAAATTGGGGCTCAGAGCATGGACCCAAGAGCAACCGAAGGCTGTGCAGAATCCTCTGTGCCTCTTCTAGCTTCTGAGCAGGCTTTTGCCAGCATAGCTCTTGTCCAGGGAGGTTGTGCAATAACCAGGAAAAGTGTATGAACCAAATACCTCTGCGCAGGTGCGATGACACCTGTGAAACTCTGCTTTTGCCAGCTTCTTTCCTTGGAGAAGCGTGACCATCCACCTGCAGAGCCACAACGTGCTACAGCCAGGAGCAGCAGAGGCAATAGGATCTGAAAAAGCACAGCAGAAAACAACGCTGCCCTTTTGTTCCGTGCCTTCTTACTCATAGAAACTTCACCTGTGCTTCGGTGCCAACAGGGAGATTAAATGCAATTAATAAGAGAAAGGTTTTAAATATCCGGCCAGGGCTCAAGCTTTGTCAGGGAAATCCTGCTGCCGCACCTCGATGTATTTTTAGTTTTGGCCTTAGCTACTCAGCTTCAGCTCCTTGAAACTCCCTAACCCCTGAGGCACCGTGTTCAGGGGAGCAGCACTTCCAGGCTCTGCGTTTCCTCATCACGGTGCTGAGCAGTTTGGGGGCTCAGAGCCCCTTTGTTGTTTCTAAAAAATCAGGCAACAAATCTGGATTTTTCTTCTTTTTTACTCAATAAAGGACCAGGAGCCTGCTGGCCTGTCTTTTTTTTAGCCACTTCATTTGGTCTTATAAAGATTATTTCCTCCTACAAACAGCTCCTGCCCTGGCTCTACTCACAGATTACTGCAGTTACAATAACTATCAAAAAGGAAGATGAAAACCAGGGTTCAGAAGCACAAGTTTGCCACGGGCAGCAGCAAACTGCTGTGTGCAAAGGGAGAAAGAGGCAGAAGAAACAAATCCACCCCCAAGGCACAGAGGGGGGTACGGTCAGGGCCTGTCCACAGCCAACTGCTTCAACCCCTCCCTTCCCCGAGCAGGCAGCGGGGGGACTTTAGGACTTGAAGGGTGTGTTTGCAAACTCGGGAAACGTCTGGGCCAATAAACCAGGATTTCCTTTCAATCAGCTCGGAGCATTTGATCAGCATTATTCGATGGAACAGAACTGCTTCAGGGCCAAGGGCTGTGTTCAGGCGATCTCCAAAGCTGCTTGGGTTTTTCATCTCTGCATCTTGTTGCAGCTCTTTTGCTTTTTCCTTCCCACTGTTTATCTCTCGCAGCACCAAGCCTTGCCTGTACTTCCTGTTTGGCTGTGCAGCGAGTAGTTTTCTCATTTGCTGTTATTTTTGACTTCCATCCAAGCTTTGTATGATATTAATAGCCATTTCACAGAACCATAATCATCCTCAAAACAGTCCTAATATTAGCAGGAGAAAGAGCCAAGAACTGTTGCCCAGGACAGAGGAACTCGTGCTCTGAATTTCTGCTCCCTGCTGCCAGCACTGCCCACAGCCCCTGGAACCCAAAAACCTGTCCATCATCCAACTTGCCCAGTCCCAAGAGGGCAGAGGCAGAATTTGGGCTATGGGAACACCGGTGGCCACACTAGTGATGGCACGCAAGAGGTAAAGGATGAGCTGCAGCTTCAGCTTGTTCCATCTGCAGAAATAACTGGTGTAATGACGTGGCCCTGGCCACAACAGGTGATAGAGAAGGGGCTTGGTGCAAGCCAGGGTGCATAAAAAAAAATATTTTTGTGAGGATTCAAGAATTAGAACTTACCAATAGTCTAACTGCTGGCTCAGCCTCACCAGGATTGCTTACCACCAGGCCAGTTACAGCAGTGAAAACTATTAATAGCCAAATTGCTCCATTTCTATTAAGGGCTGCCAGTAACTGGAGAAAAAAAAAGAAAGAGTTGCCCCTTTCCTTTGATGAGAAATTCTCCCATCTTCCTTTGCATTGCCAATGACTCACCAGCATCCTGAGCTCTTCTCAGAGGCAAGTATGATGTTGATGGGTTTTTGTCTCCTCTTTACTGGGAAGAATATGATTGTTTCTTCCTCCTCATTTTAGGGTCTACTTGAGGCTATTTTTATATATTTTTCTTACACTTTTTACACTTAATTCTTTCCACACACAGCTACAATTCCCCGTTACATCCACACTTATGATATCACTTCTTTTTTTCCTGTTACCATTAGGTTTGTCACCTACCCAAGCTGTGTTACTTAATGATCTGTTACTGATGAGTTGCTAATAGCCCTGGGGCCATCCTGTCCTCAGTGCCCACAGACCACACCTGCTAGACCTACCTGTTCCTTAAAGAAAAAAATCAGATTTACCACAGGCACCGCCATCATACCCCACAGTTACATAAAACTACACAGATTCAATTGCTAAAACCCATTAGGTAACAGCCAGGCAGTCGTTTAGCTTGTTTACCTGGAACAGCAAACTACAGCAAAGTTTTGGGCAGGTCAGGGCAGCTTTAGACAAAACCAGCCTGGCGAGCCCCAGTGCCAAGGTCTTCACACTCCGTGGCCTTTTTCTGATGACACCACCATAAATACTGGATTGCAGGACTGCAGAACACACCCCTCTTCCATCACCTCAGTCCTGTTGTTTCCTCAAAGCTGTGATATTAACAGCGATCTTCTCAGGCAGGAAGACTCCAGGGTGAGTTCAGATCCTGCTGCTGTGACCACTTGCTCTCCTTGCCCCTTTGTTTACTCAGGCTCCGGTCCCATTTTGTGAAGGGAAGGCAGTAGCTTCATGGCAGGTAGAGCAGGATGCTTTCTTTTCTGATTTAAGCTGCTTTCTTTCAGTTTTGTTTCCCCTATCCTGCCCAGAAGGGAAATACTTTCTCCACTGAAGGATCAGTCAGTAAACCTCAGACTCTGCACTGCCCACCAAAAGAGGCAGAGCCTGAGGCACTGCTCCCTGCCAGTGACAGTCCCAGAACCATTTCGGTTGGAAAAGACCTCAAAGATGAAGTCCAACCATTAACCTAGCACTGCCAAGCCTACCACTAAACCACCTCCCTAAGCACCACATCTGCATGTCTTTTAAATACAAATACCTCCAGGAATGGTGACTCAACCAAGTGGCAGCCTGCTCTGATGCTTCACAACCCTTTCAAGGGAAGTTTTCCTTAATATCCAACCTAAAATTCCCCTGGCACAGCTTGAGGCCATTTCCTTTTGTCTTATTGCTCCTTCACTTGATGTTACGCCCACAGCAAAGTGTGTTAAGTGCACAGCAGCCATCCTTGCAGTGGATCCTGCTGGGATCAGGAGCAGTAGTGGCGGCTCCCAGCTGCCCCACCTCCTGCAGGGTGCAAACAAGGCTGGAGAAGCCTTCACCCTGCAGACCCCACATCAAAGGGAGGCAACGCAGGCCCCCCGTGTTCACCCAAAGCTATTTTGTTTCCTGTAACAACACCAGGGAAACAAAATGGTTCTTCTGCTTCCCCTGGGCCAGTAAGACTGCACCCCAGCAGCCAAAGCTGACAGATTTGTTAGTTGTTATGGCAGTACAAGAGTAATGTAGCACCAGAGCCTTGCATACAGGCCCGGGCCAAAACTCCCTGACACAAATAAGAGGCATTAGCTGGAGAACAGAACCACAGGTCACATAGAAATTCAAGATTTACTTCGCTGCACAGGTTAGGACAGTTTTCCAGAGCTCAGTAAAAAACAGCCAGTTGATAAACTTTTGTATTCTCCCAAAGTTTTTCCATGCAGCAGTACACAAGGTCACATCCAATTTCAGAAAGCAGAGACTCCCAAGAACAAGGGTGCTATTAAACGACCCTCAATCCCCTCACCAGTATGAACATCACTATTAATTAGTTTTGAGTACCCAAGAATCCTTCAGGATCGATATCCTTGTATCTAAATACAGTCCTCTACAAGATTTCCTCTACAAAGTTTTCCCCTTGTAAACACAGTACCAGGGAATGTTTCTTTGGGAAAAGTCACAGTCCCTGTGGCAGTTAATTAAAGTGTCTTCTGCCTGATGAGACAAATGCAACAACGCCACCGTCAGGATTACAGGCTGCACCACCACAGTGCAGCCAAGAATTACAGACTGTGCTGTTTGAAAGACTGGATTCTGACACAGCTCAGTCAATGGGAGGAGGAGGTTGGGTCGCTCCTGCGTGAAAAGCAGCCTACATGCTAGGGAAAAACAAAAATACAGCTTACAATTCTGTTTCACTTATCACAGGTAGAGGATGCTATTGGAAAGCGTCAGCGAGTTCAGCCATTTCTTTGTTAATTAATACTTTGAATAGATCCTGTAGTTACTTTCTTCACCAATACTAAAAGCATTAGATAATAAAATACATTGCACAATAAAAAACCCATTAAAATTCTTAGTTAAGCTGAAAGGTAAAAGGAAAAATATCTTATTTCACAAGCTGCCAAGGAGGGGAGTTGTGTTTGTTGTACTCATAAGTGTTGGTGTGCAAATCCTAGGATGACATTCACTCCCAGGTCCACTTCACTTCAGCATAGGAGAGGCAAAGAAGTTGGCTTGACGCCCCAGCTGGCTTGTTGACTTGCTTTTGCTCCCAAATCTAGTTCAAGAGAAGTAGAAAAGTGAGGTTTGGCGATAGAGGTCTACTTACTTTTACCCGCCTCTTAAAGCGTTCCAGCTCCCTACTGTAAGGTCACACTCATTAACCATTATGCAACTTGCACTGTTACTGTAGCATGAAGGGAGAGAGTAGATCAAGTAGTAAATCCAAGCTGCTCCCAGAACTCTGTCCAAAAGTCTATTTTTACTTCTCCTTGAACACCCACACCACCTGTAGCATACCAATATTTCCATAAAAGCACCCAGCAGCACTTACTTGGGGGTTATGCTGAAGGTAGACCGGACCTTCTGGGACAGGGAGCTAGATGACGGCGTCTTGGACAGCTGCTGTTCCGGAGTGGTGAGTGGTCCAAGCATGCTCACTATCAAAACACAAGCAATCAAGTGAGCAACATGAGGACAGCTGAGTTTTCACTGCTAGGCAAGCAACATTAGACATTGCCTAGCATCTGTCAAAGATACTAGACAAATCTGGTATTTTCTGGCATGCTTTCCTTCCCTCTTCCTGCACAAAGCATGCAGGGATGGCTAGTTCCAAGTCTCACAAGCAGCCTTGATTGAGGATCATTATTTTTCATACAGCAGCTGCACAGCCAATAGAGCAGCATTCAGCTGTTACCTTTAACATCTGGTGTCTGTGGAGTGGAGAAGGCATTGGTGTTCTCAATTATGTGTGCTGGGTCAATGTTTTCTTGCTCCACCAGCATCAGCTGGCTCCAGTACTCCACAGGCAGCAGCAGAAGCCGCTCCACTACCTACAGAAACACCCACGAGTAGCTAACGTTAGGAAGTGGTACACAGCATTAATGCACAGACAGACATCACCTCATCTCCCTCCCGACAGAATTCTTTACGTGGGACACATCGCTCACATCTGCTGACCTACCTTGGGCTGCCGCTTAGTGTCCTGCAGTAACGTCATGGCATCAGGATCAGGCACCGCATGAGCAACTATCGTGGGGCCAAAGATTTTGGCCAAGTTGGTAACATCCATTTTAGTGTCTGGGCTCTGAGCCACCCTATATTTAAAGAAAAAATAAAAGTAGCTTCCCCCCATTCACCTTCCACACAGCTCCCCAGCCAATATGCACTTCAGCCTCCAAAAGAACGAAGACTTTTTGCTCACAAGCAGTCATAAGAGACAATTAGAGAAGGACCAGTGGCAATATCCCCCCTTTCCAGGACTCTCAGTCCATCTGAACATACCGCTGCAGGTGAAGCATGAGAAACGCTAGGGTTTCCCTGTTGGCCTGTGGAAGTTCACTAACGGCCTGGTACATAGCAGCAATACTGTTGTCCTCATCCGAGATTTCTGGGGGAGGAGAAAAAATGTTTAGACCTGAGAAAGCAGTCTTAGATGCACAGCTATAACATTCCCCTCACAGTAAGAGCTGCCTGAGGAACAAGGAAACTAGGAACTAACCATTCTAATAATTCCATATCCTGCCCAAGCACTAGAATTTTCACTGTTCCAAAACACTACAGCAGAAGAGACCTCCCCAGCCGACTGCGTATCTGCAGCAGAAGCACTGAAGTCTGCCAGCTCACATGTCAGATAAACCTGTGACCACCAAACCTTTTATAAAGTACTGAGGGTGTCATTTAGCATCTCCTTACCTGCAGCTTCCATGAAAGTCTTGTTTAACCGGAACGTGAGAAGGGGTTCTTTCAAGCTGCGTAGGAAGTCTTTCAGAAGGCCGCAGATAGCGTGGATATCATCCACTTTACTGAGCAAAGGAATGTTTTTTGATCTCAGGTACTTCTCTTTCAGCTCTCTCACTGTCTTGTCACAGCCAGATATCCGGTAAAGACCCATCTGTTGACAGAAAGCCTTGCTTACAGGCAGAATATAGACTGCACATGTAAAATCTACATTCTTCTGCTCCCACATTTCCCTCCACACCTGAGCATAGACACTGCTGCTCACTCAGTCACCCCACTGAGCAGTGCTACACACCCAGTAAACAAGAGACGTTTGTGTTAATGATTTGCTTCTCTTAACACCACAACCTATTTCATTAGCACTGTTTCACACCTCATTTTGTTTTTACCTCATGTAGCCCTCGCTGCTCGATCTCATTAACACAGTGCACTATGATGGAAGGGATCATTGGAGGAGCAGAAGGGACATAGTCCATTAAGGTCCCCTAAGAGGCAGAAGAGCAGAAAAAAAAATAAGGTATTCGGGTCTCCAAGACGAATCTAGAGAGATCTAGACTCAAAAACATGCATTATTTCTCCTTCATCATCCCTGGGACGCACAGTACCACACCCCTCAGCACAATGCTGCAGGATTGCATGTGCAGAGCAGCCATATACACAACTTGAGACTCTCCTAATAAATCACCCCTGTCATCCATTATCCTGAAACAATGCTTTAGCAAGTTCATTTGTATTTCATTATGCAGCTCTGAGCAACAGACGTTCTTCTGTAGAAGACAAATTTGGAGCCTAAGCACATTCCACCTCTAACCTAGGATTATTTGTGTCAGCAGCTATAGTCCCCCAAGCTCCCCATACACACTTACCTCCCCAATTTGGACAGGAGTGCCAGTCAAGGTGGGGATACAGGGAAGGGGACAGCGGTCCCGACACTCTGGATGAGCGACCACACGGCAGCTTCTGCACTTCAGAGATATTTTTCCAAACTTTATTCTCTTTCCACAAGGAACACACGATTCCGGCTTGATAACCTAATGATTCAGAACATTTTATATAGGTATGGTTAATATTGACTTGAGACATAACAGCTGATAGCCTCTTATCAATAGCTTGATATCACAATCACACACATACATGTATTTAATGAAGCGAGATCAACTTGCAAGTTCTTCCTGACCTACCGTTTTTGAAACAAATTCATGCAGCCTCACTCCCCCATTGTTTTGGGGGGTGCAAGAGCCATTACTCTCCGATTTGGATTCCAGCTGCTTGTTGCCCAAGTTTGAATCACTGTTCCAAGGCTGCAAAGGACCTGGAAGACAGAAGAGTAACGTTGGCTAGGTGGGAATCACTCCTTTGTGTGATCTTTGCTCAAAAAAAATGCATTATAAATCAGAGGCAGCTGCTTAGGTCCTGGAGGAAGGTAACTAGCATTACAGGACAGCCTCCAGCCCACTGTGTAGTTGTTTCAGGACTAGAACAAATGGAGACATGACACCTACCACTCTTCCTCTGACTTCTCAAGCTATAAGGCACAGTCTGGATGGTAGAGATGGCTTCAATTGGGCCACCATCACTGGGGACCATAACAGTTGTCTTTGCTACTATGGATTCGTTTCCCTGTAACAAGGAGTACGTTGTTAGTGACAGCAATAGTGACAGGACAAGGGATTTTAGTTTGTTGGCCCCGGAAACAGGTACACACTAAGACCAACTATTTTAACGCATATTAACCCAGCTGGGACCACCATACCTGGTCTGCAGTGGAGCCAATTGATCGTATTTTCTTCTGAGGACCTGGTGGGCCTTCAATGTACTGCCTAGAAGATCGCTGAAGAGATACAGTATTTTTGTCTACAAGGCACGTATACCGTCAACAGGAGTTCAGTAGAATTAGAGGAGCAGAACAATCGTCTGCACACAGCACAACAGCATTAAGTTCTCTACAGTACCACTTTTCGTTACAAACCAGAAGATAATCAGGAGGCCTCAACATGCAGCTCTTTCCAATAATTGTCTTAGCCAGCTTTGTAATCCATCAATAGCAATTTAGAGGAAAAAAATAGGCGGTAACTGATCAAATCCCAGTCTCTTAACTCTACTAGTGATGATTTTAGGCTGTCCTTTCCCACCCGTGCCTACTGCATGCTAAAAGACCAAAACAATCACAAGCTCCTTTACATACAGGAAAGGATTCAGCTTCCTACAGACTTTTTTCCTAACACAATAGCCGTTAATGATTTTAAAATGCTTTCTAGCAAACCCTAGGCCATCACAAGGTACACATTTAATTAACTTTCACACAGAATCCACACAGCAGGGCTGAGGTATAGCAGTAGCACACCCGTCTGAAGTTAGATTGTGACTAGCAGCTCAACATCATTATAGGCGGCTGCAAGATGACAGATGGTGACATTGTGTTACCTAGGGCTAACAGCAGCATCTATTTGAAGCAGAAGAATTGAACATACCCGCTTTTCTCTCCTTTTCAGTCTGACAGCTTTCACCACAGAGGAATCCCAGTCCTGTGGGAAATAAACAGTACTGGTTAGTTCAGTGTAAATACCACACAGCCTCTGGTCTGGGCTTTCATTAAGTTTTACCCAATGACACACCAGAGAAATGCAGATCAGCTCTACTAGTCTAATACTACAGTAATCTAAACACAAGGGGTCTCTGGAGACTATTCTTGAGGTTTTATAGGGGAAGAAAACTTCAGGACTTCGAGTTACATTACCAGTGAATCATCGGTCTTGTCAAAGCTGATGTCTGACAGAATTGAGCCAGATTCATCAATTGTAGACAGCCTAAAAAAAAACAAATTAGAAGAAAAAGATAATTAGTTTGGCCTTCCATCAGCCACGACCCCCAAAATGATCTCTCCAGAGCTTTATTTCAAACCGGACTATAAAGTAAAACTCAGTTGATACTCACGCAGCGTGTCACAGACGCACATGCGGCTAGATCAATATTTGCTACTGATGTGCTCAGACAAAACACTATTTTGCCTACCTTTTGTTGCCTGAACCTCCCATAGAAACCTGTGGCCTGTTAAGAAAGGCAAGGGCAGACTTCTGTTCTTCACTTAGCTGAATACTCCCCGATGCATCACACATGAGCAGCTCTCGAATCAGTTGTATTTGCCTCTCCTGGAAAGAGAGATAATATCAGAAGCTGCCATGGGATAAACTGTGTTTAATTACTGTAGGAACCAGTCTCAGGTATTTGAGATACTACACGGATAGACTCTCAGGACTCGCGACAATACACTGCTAAGAGCTGCAGAGCATGTGCTCTGCCAGGTAACTCTGAATAGCAGCCACTTTTTTTCCAAACCAAAGCAGAAGGCTGCTATAAGGAGCCAAGCCAATTTGTTGTTGGTGGGGTTTGGTTTGTTTTCCTCTCCAGGAAACAAGTTATCACGAGTGCCAGTCCTTATTTTCCATAGATCAATGCAGTTTAACCACCTCCTCTTCACGTTAACTGGAGCTAACTGGTAATAAAGGAAATACTCACCAGCTTCTCACAGTCCATTTCAGCTTTTTGCCTGCGTTTGATCTCCACATCCACTTGATTGCGAGCGTGTTTCAACTTCACACCCAAAGCACTACATTCAGCTTCGGTTTTCATCAGAAGATCCTTGTACCTGCCAAGCTCGTGCTCCGTTTTCTGCAGTCTTCTCCGATATTCATCAAAGTTCTTTGCTAGCTGAATAAATTCTGGAGAGAAGGCAAATACATCTTTAACTACTCAGGCAAACAGAGGAGATGCAGCAACCCTCCTTTCACTGAGGGTAGGTTTCTATTAATATAGCTTGCTCTTAACTGAAGAGTGTTGCAAAGCTGGCCTTTCAGCACACCCAGCTACACTCTAGATGCTCACAGCATCTCACAGCTTTTCTGCTTGATACTGACACATAGGATTTGGTCTGAAAAGACCCTAAATGAGACCTTGCACAGATCAAGTCAGCTTACTGTCAGTCCGTGACTTCACATTTCTCAAGAACGGAGGAAAAAAACTCAAAATCTGAGTGCCTGTAGCAGTCTTATTACTCACCACCTTGTCAACAGATTCTTCAGTAACAGCTAATAATGTTTGCTGTAAGTTTATAAACACACAAACAAGCACAACATCCCACTTAGGCTGCCCACTGAAACAAAACTTACGGTATTCATTTCCTTCACTTAAAACTTCAGCCTGGCGCACGAGTTGATCAAACATACGCAGCAAATTCAGCGTGGCGGCCTCCATCTTCCTGCCAAGAAACCAGAATTAAATAAACAGCCCAGCCCTTTCTTCCCACCTCCAAATGGAAAATGCGTTACCAGTCCAAAGGAAAGAGAATTTGCTTCAGGATTTTTTTTTTAAGGCAAGTTTTGGAAGCTGCACAAACAAAAAATACATTAAGAAATGTTTCGTGGAGATATACGCATCTAAACACTTTCCTAGGGAGTACAGGTCCTCGTTCTTCCACAGCTTAAGGATAGCACAGCCATATGTAGAGGCAGTACAGCTCCTCATCTGACTGCCTCAAATAAACCCCAGGACACTACAAAGGTTCAGAACCCGAGGCAAAGTGAGGGATCCCAAACTATTTTCCTTCTGAAAGGCTGCAGAGCACAGCTTGTGCCCAGGCTGTGAGTAACTTGGTACTATATAGGCCACTAAAAACCTGAAAGTCTTCAGAGCTCCTACGATAAAAATAGAAGCAACATTCTGGGGAATTTTAATACCATTTTAAATTTAGCTGCATTTTAAGTTACAGCTCCTGCCGCAAATAGCTTTTAAAAATGCAGACAGTCAGCACATTTTCCTCGAGCAGCAGCAACAATGGCATAAACAGAAGCAATGAAGGGGAAAGTCTCCAGCTCAGCACCACAGAAATCACTTCTCCGATGCAAGACGGTGCTGGAGTCCATAGGGCAACCCAATTAAAAAATCAGCAGCAGGTGCAGGCGCTGCTGAGAGGTGCAGGATGGGGGCAACACACACCAGAAGGCTCTGGAGACCACCAAGGAAGGCTCCAAAGGGCTTTATTTATTCAATTATGGACCCTACAACACACACACATATATATAGGGGGGTTTTTATGGACCCTACAGACACATATACTTATATGGGGGCACATATAGACCCTACAGACACACATATAGATATAAATATATATATAGGGGGGCTTTTATGAACCTTACAGACACATATATTTATATGGGGGCATGTGTGGACCCTACAGACACGTAATTATCAGGGCTTTCAATCTTACGCAGTCCACAAGGTATAGAGGGCTTTTTGCTTACAAAGCCTTCCTCGTAGGCTGCTTTTTTCGTCTCAAAAAGCACTTCGAGAGCTTTGTGCCTTCGCTTACAGCACCAGAACCCCCAGTGGGGGGCGAGGGAAGATAAAATAAAACTAAATCAAATTTTTAAAAAAATCTCTCAGGTAAACGGGCACCAGGCCTCGACGGCGGCTCCCCTGGGTGGTGGAGGGCTGAGGCGCCGGCTCACCCCAAAGGGGGGGGGACAAAGCTCGGTGCCCAGCCCGGTGCCGAAGCCCCCCTCGGTTCTCCTCAGCCGCCCCCCGCCCCACTCACCTCAGCCGCCGGCCCGGCCCGGTGCGGCGCGAGCTCCGGCTCCAACCGCCCAGCCTAACCGCCCCGCGATTCGGTTTGAATCCCTGCCGCCAGCCAATCCCGGGCCGCGCTCCGCCTTCCCGGCCTCTCATTGGCTCTGCTCGCCGCGCGTCTGAAGACAAGTCGGCGCCATGTTTGCTAAGGGAGAGGTTTCTCTCCTCCACGCAGCGGAGCGAACATGGGAAGGGGCCGTGATGAAGGAGAAGTGGCGCCATCTTTACTGCTGGCAACTGTTTTCAGCCCGTGTTGCTTAGCAACAGAGCAGGCGGGCGATGCCTGCAGGGCCTAAGCTCCCCAAACCTAGGGCTGCTTCTTCTGCAATCATTGGCACCAAAGGGCTGTTTTGGGCAGAAAAAGCTGCTGTTTTGGGGTGTTTGGGGAAAAAAAAAGCCTCAGTCTGAAGCCCAGTTGTGACTTTAAGCTATGCCAATGGCAAAGGTTGGGAGAATCTGAGAGCCCCCCATGCACTGGTTTTGCAGAGTGACATAAAACACTCAGCGCGACCCAGAGAACTGATATATTTCACTAGAAAGCCGTTTATTCGATGCTGTCCCTTGAGAAAAATGATGCCTTGGCTGATTTTTCTCTTTGAAATGTTGATCTGAGTAACAGCCAGCCACCTGTCCCATGTGCAAAAAAAAAAAGCAAAGCCCCATTTCATGCCACGTACAACTCCTCCAGTCGCAGGCATTTAATATGCAAACAGATAAAACACAAGCCAAAACCCAACAATTACAAGAAGCGAAATCGCATAATCATAAAATATCAATGCACTTTAATCTTTTAAATCTGAAACAAAACAGCGGGTAATTGAAGAATGGATATTAGCAATTAGAAAGCGGAACTAAATGCTTAAAATTGCTAAGTGGAAAAGTGAGTTCGTAAAGCAGATTGCTCTCAAACATCCAGCTGCTTTGTCAGGACTGTTTTATTTAGGTTATATAGTCTGCTTTAACTTAATTAATAATAATTAATTCATAATAGTTTTCAAAAAGCCTCAAGGTTCCCTGAAGAGTAAAGAGTAATGAGGCTTCCTCACAGAAGATGGTCAAAATTATCTACATTTTACAGGGGAAATGTGACATGGAAAAGAAATTCTTCATCCTCTGAGCCAATGGCAAAGCAAAAGGAAGACATTGACCTTGATATTTGACCTCTTGGTATGCAAAATCACCCCAAATCCCAATTTGATCCAGTCTGGAAAGCAAGTCAAAGGTTGGTAGTTAGACCTGGCCCGGCTGAAAGCCTCTGGTGCACACACAGACCATCTGGGCTCTCCTTGTAACTCCATTTCTGAGGAGGTTCAGCTCTTTTATCAACAGCCCTAAGCCTCCTGCATCTCCTGCCTGTAATTAAATCTTTGCAGCTAAGATGTCTCTATTGGCAGATCATATTTATAGGTAGGCGAGTTGTTTTAGTGTCATTCTTAAGAGTTAAGGAGCCTTTTGCTCATAAGCAAATTTTCCCCCTTTTAAATTGTCATCTGCATTCTTGTGCCAATAAAAAGGCACATTATTTTAGATTATGGCCCCCATGGTGCTTGTAGCGAGTTACCGCATTAGGCACTGTTTTTCAATGTTAAGCAAATTAGATTTCTTCCATATGATTTCAGGCATCGTTTTTCCAAAAAACCTCCTCTGAAATCTTGTGCGTGGAACCTCGAAGGCTGTCAGGAGCTGAGTACCGCAAAAAAGCTCCTGCAAGAAACCTCCTCATCTGCTGCCATGGCTTGGCCACTGCCAATGGGACAGAGAAGCAGGAGCCCTGAAGCTTGGTAGGATTTCTGTTTCTTCCTCCTTGGCTGACACATGGTGAGAGCACGGAGGCCAGAAGCACCTTCCGCATATCACTTTACTTCAAGGCAGAAGACAAGGCACGAGATTAAGGGCCTTTATTGCAAAGTAATTATACTCTCTTTTGTTTGTGTCGAGTGGGGTGGGGGAGAAGCCTTGAAATGTCTCATCTGGGAAACCGTTAATAGAATTTATGCTAATTTGATGATTCCGGCGATTACTGGCGGAAGCACTTCACAATTTCAGGCAGCAAAAATTCTCCTCGAGCTTCTTCTGCAGTCTCACTCGGTTGGTTGTTTGCCCATTCGCCTCCTCCATTTGCTGGCAACTCCCTTGCTGGGCAGCGCTCGCAGGACCTTTGCTTGTGACAACGCTGTTGGGCTCAGGGGTGACCCCATGCCTCCACCTTTTGGGGGCAGAAAGCAGGGGGAAGTGCCCCGGTGCCTCACTGTGCTAGCGAGCAGCCCTGCAGCAACAAACCTTTCCTACCAGCTTCATCTTCTGGTGGAGCTTCGCAAGCACAAATCTCTCTGCCTGGCTCCTGCCTAATTAACTCCAGAATTGCAAACCCATTTGTGCAGTTTTGTGCTTAGGGGAAGCCTTTATTAAGTTCCTCTTAATCCAAAACCAGTTAGAGCATGATGGTCTTCATGAACAGTCATCCAAAAAAAAAAAAAAAAAAAAAAAGGACAAAGAAGGGGAGCTAGAAACTTTAAGATGGCAACCTTTCTCTAGGGGAAAAAAAAAGGCAGAAAAAAATATATCTTTGGTGCACTTCTCTTAATGCAGCACTGATTTCAAAAAAAGAATGATTCAGTAGCATTTGGAAAATGCCCAGCAGGCGGAGCAGGGAGGGCAGCCTGGGTTTAGCCAGAGGAAGCTGGACATTTTGGGGAATGAATTCCTAATTTTTCGTGGTTGGCCAGAGCTGCAGGCCGGCAGATGGCATCACGCTCATGCCGTTGGGTGGTATCGGGCGCTGCGAGGCCTCCGCCACGACTCAGCTGTGCAAAATATTGCTCGGCTCCTTGCCCGTGTGGTCTGCAACGAGGGTGCCAAAGGAGCAGAGCTTGCACCATCAAGCCAAAGCAGCCAGGTTTATCTGTGATTGTCCGCCTGCATGATTCCTCCAACGGTGACCAGCATCAGGGTAAAGAGCGCTTGGATGTAATCAGCCAAATCTGTCTGCGGCACCACGCAGCCCATCCTTTCTGCTCCATGCACCTAAATGGTGCATTGATGTCGGCGGAGGAGCCACAGCCTAATCCTGAACTCGTTAAAAAACAATGGGAGTCTTTTTATTGCCTTCATCTGGCCTTTAATGAATGACCTCTTGTCGCCAGGAGCTACATGCAGTGACAAAGGGTCTTTGTGGACTGATATTTATGATTTCATTTAAGCCAGGGAGTAAGCTAAAGGAGAGGATTGCAAAATAAGAGCTGAGCTGATGTTTCCTGCTTTAAACTCAAGGGATCTTTATCTAGAGGTTTTTTTTTATATTAATATAGTTGTCATCTCTTAAATATTTGAGCAACTTGCAGTCATGAGCACTCCCATGCTGGTGGCACACAAAGGTCATGGCTCAGTGGCAGGGCAGGGAACGATTCTCCCAAGCCCCACACATTTCTTTGGTCTGGGGGTTTGAACTCGGGGTTTGGGGGAAAGATTTGGATTTTCCTAGTGCTCCCATCACAACTGCATCCACTTCAAGCACACCAGGCCCTGCTGTGAGAGCGCACAACCTGCTGGTGTGCAGCCCCAGGCTCGGCACGGCCACTGGGTCCCAAAAACCCTCTTCGCACCAGCAACTTGCCAACGCTGATAAATTTTTGCCTCTTCCTTCAGCAGGGTTCAGCAGCGGATTAAGCAGCTGGGAGCCTGGAGTGAGAGTGCGTCCCCTCTCCTTTGCCATGCAAACACAGAAAATTAATCTTCCAGCTTCCTCTGATATTTGGGCTGAATTACAAGCTGGGAGCGGAGATAAAGCACGGGCGAAAGGAAGTCACAGGTACAGCGGAGAGCCGGGCTGCTTGGCACAGGCCCTTGTCCGTGCAGATAACAGCTCTCCTCCCTCTGTCATGCATAATTCACCAGCACTGCCTCCCTCCGTCCGGTCATCCCTTTCTCTGCTCTCACTGATCTCCTACAAAAACTGGAAGCCTGCCTGTCCAAGGGAGCCTGAAGGACACCAGGCGACGCATGTGGGTGCAGAAGCACACTTGGACAGGGGGAACAAGCACGCGTGTGCACCCAGAAACACGGCAGCACCACGCTCAGAAGTGTCTGCACTCAGCCAGGAGACACCCGCCACCAACCCAACCAAACCAAAACACTTTTGCAAGGGCCTAAAGGGCGATTTCACATGCCCATCACATTTCAGCTTCGGTAACCAAGCTATCTCCCTAAATCCCTCTGATGTTATCATCGAATAGAGGTTACTTCCTTTGGGATACCAACCCTAGCATTAAGAGACACCAACTGTATTTTATTTGGTCGTTCATCCGGCAGCTTCTCTGTACCTTTTTTTGACAGAACTGTGCCACGCAGAGCAGAAAGGCCACAGAGGTTTTCCATGGCTTCTGAGAGCTGCTTTCCCAGAACAAAGCAGAAATAACCCCGGTCACTCCCAGCCAAACAGCAAGCGTAGACACCTGCTTAATTATTTTCGCTTTGTAAATTAAAGCAGTGACATGAGTTTAATAACCACTGCCTGGGAGTAATTGGGGCGATTATTGTATGGCCCAGGGGGAAAATTGCAGCCTTTTATCTCCAGGGAGTAGCATTAGGATCCAGCAGATAATCAGGGGGTTATTTGTTGCACTTCAGATGACATTTCTTATGGATTTAGAAGTGATAGTGATCAAACCACATCATCAGAGCCACCTCCAAACTGGGGAATCCAGCCACCTGTAAGCTGCACAGCATCTGAAGCCACCCAGGACAGCTGCCCTTCCAGCAGGACAGCATGACTAACAGACACGTGTCAGAGAAGCCACATTTGAGTTCAAATGCTTCCAGATCCGTCACTCATTGCGGTTTTGTTTTCTTTTCTTTTGCAATTCGATCTTAAAAGAGACAACGCTCAGGACAGCAGTACGCTATGCTGCCTGAGAGGATGCAAAAGGGGGAGATCAACGCTAACAGATGCCGCCAACCAGAGCTATACACAACCACAAGAGACTTTCCATCCTCAGTTTCTCCCTCCCCACCCCAATCAATAGCCTCTGCCTGTCCTCTCATCTACAGCAGCCCTGAAATTTGAGGCTGAACACCACAGTCGTTCACCACAGCACAATCAAGCGTCTCTCATCAGCATTGTGCTCTCTGT